GTAGCGAAGAACTACAAAACCCACAAATAGATTGAAACGCCACAAGAATGATACCAATTTCAAAACCAAAAGTTTTGATACCAATTTTTTGATAAATACGAATGATACCGAATAATTCCGATACCAACTTGTTGGAGAAAATAAAATAATATAATCACAATATGAAGTAGTTGATCACAAGAACACAAGAACAAAATAATTTGCAGAGAATTGAGATTTTATTAAAATAAGGAGAAAGAATACAAATATTTGTGTTTACAATATTTCTAACTTAATCTAAATCATAATGAAGAGCCAACTACATATAGAGAACAAATAAGAAACGTTCACACCATAATATTAAGCTATAGTTGAAGTAGAATGTAAAAAAACTCATCAAAACGCGAAAAAGAGCCTAGGCCGGAAACATCACTCGCTCGAGCGGGAAGTTAACGCCAAGCTAGGGCGTCCTAGTGCTCGAGCAGTAGGCCAATGCTAGGCGGGTGCCGCTTATCTGCTTTTGGTGCTTGAGCGCCAAACTAGCCCCAAGCTAACAAAAATGCGGCTAGAAAACCCTATTCCATAATTTCAACCTCTTCTAGTGTCCAACACAAATTCCAACTCTCAATAAGGTTTCTAGATAGAATTTCAACTAGAATTTGCCGAATAAACTTAAATAGGATTCCACAATAGCATTCTAAATAGAATTTATCTTAATGTGCAATTTAATTAGAATTCTTGATTATTTTCAATAAAAAATTCGAGTCACACTCAAATTCTAACAATTGATCCTTAAAAGATTTATTGTTGTTCCTTATTCTTTTAGGGGTCCTTTTCCTAATTATAAAAATATTTTGTTTTTCTACACAAGTCTTCTGGAAATTACCAGCTTGACCATTTCCTTAATGAAATAGAATTCTTTTTCCTTGTTGCAATATTTTTTTTTATTACCAAACTAAAACTCTTTTTCTTTTTCGCAATAGGACTCTTATATTTCATAAATTTTGGGTCAAACCCAACGATAGATAATAAAAAATTAAAATAAACAAATTTTATCGACTAACAATTCGCATGAAACAATATAATAACCTGACCTTAACAATCAAGTGGCTTTTGTCATTGATAAGTTAAAAGAAAAAATTATTTAAATAGATTTAATATACCAATGTAATTTATATTTTTAAATAAAATAATAAAGATAAAAATTCAAATATTACTTTTAGAAAATTATGTCTATAGTTAAATAAAAATTTAAAAATAATATAAGATCATAAAAAATGTCGTGTTAGTAATATTATAAAAATAAATATTTTAATCAAATTAATTTGCCGAGATTTCGGCAACAAATAAAATAATTAAAATGTGAACTTTGATAATGAAGAAAAATTTTGTCGAGAATAAAATAATAACTGTGATACGATAAATAAAATAGAAAAAAAATTAAATTATCAATAAAAATTAAACTTAAAATGAAGAAAGAATTAATACTTCTTTGTGGACAACAAGCAAACGAAGTACTGTCGATAGTTGCCAACGTTATCATGGGCGACGTTACATCAATAGTCATTGACGAGTTTGCGATCAATGGTTATTGATGATGAACAATGCTAGAATTACATCAATTTTGACAGCCCTCTCNGGTAATACAGATGAACAAGGTTAGAGGTACATCAATTTTGACAGTCCTCTCACATACCTTTGGGGGGGGTCCACGATTAAAATAATCGTGGGCCCCACCCATGGGAGAGGGCTTTCAAAATTACTGTACAATTTTGACTGTACATTAAGCGTTTTTGATTGATGATATTGTTGTAGGTAACTCATTTCCAATTAACAATTAATATTGATTTTTGTCAGTGTTTTTGGTTATCATTTTTCTAATTTTCTTTCATTATTATTCTTTAAAAGGCCCCATTAAAGATTTATAACTTTAATCAAAGTCAAACAATAATTTCAAAAAATAATTTATAACTTTAATCAAAATCAAACATTAATTTCAACCACTTATTTATAATTACTATATAATATTATTCACACATATCTTGGGGCTCACTATTACGAGCCTTTTGACATACATTTTGCTTCTACTTTTACTTTCTATAGTAGAACTTTTGAAGAAAGTTTTTTAAATTTTTGTTTGAAAATTAATTTTTAAAAGCACAATATATTCAAAAAGTACTTTTAAAGAAAGTCATATCGAACTACATTTCACTAAAAGTTCTTCTGACTATCAAAATCACTTTCGTAAAATTAGTTTAATGGGTCCAAAAGCGACTTTTGAGTGTCAAAACTCTTTTAGAGCGTGTTTGATAGGGATTAAAATTAGAATTTTTGTGGATTGTAATAGAAATTTTTGAAATGTGTGGTTGAAAAGTTGTATGACCCATTAAAGATATCGTCAAAATTGCTTGTTTGACTTTAACTTAGATTAAAATCAAATTTTAATCCGAACCAAATATGGACTTAATTTTTCAAAATTCTCGTCAAACAGACTCTACTTTACTATTTAGAAATTTGCAAAAGAGAGGCCTAACGACCTTTGAATTGTACATCGAATTCTTGAATAAAACTATACACAAATATTGCGGGATGGTGTTGATAGCCCAAAGACATGGAAAATAAATAGAATTTCAAATGAAAATTTTGAGGTAGGAACCATTTTGTACGCGTAGTCAATTCGACGCAACCGTGTCAACGTGTATAACAATACATTATGGTGACTTTGTATTTGTTTTATCGAAAAAGAGCACAAACATAAAATGACTGGTTTTTAAACAGGAAGTTCGTGTGATAATGAATAGTTGAAGAATCTAGAAAAGTTTTGCTATCAAGAAGAAATTCCTAGAAATAAAGACTTTAGAATATCTTTCCAATAAATTAAAGTTAAGAGCCATCAGAATTGAAGTGTGTGAATAAGGTAAATTTTCCACTGACATTTTTGTCTTCATCCCACCTGTAATATGCCCCATCCCATCACGAGAAAACTCCATGGCGTCTTCCTAGCTTTTAATTTTACTAGACCAGCCTTCCTTAGTCAACATTTATGTTTTATTGGAGCTGCCACGGCATGTTTCACACTCTAGACCAAATTATATTGGATAAAATATTACGTTCAAATACCATGTTTACACAACAAACATCTGAGGCCATTGATCGAGCAAATGTTTACACAACAATCTAGTTGGACCCTTCTCTTTCCTTTGTAGTTAAGAAATATGACTAGAGGGAATGAACACGTTTAACGATCATAAATTAAATAACTAAAACAATCCCGATCCAAGCTCATGTTTGATGGTCATTATTTTGAGAAAATTAAGTTTTGAATATAAATTTTTGTAGAATGTGTGGTTAAAAAGTAGAATTTTTTTTTAGATTTACGTGCAAAATATTTTATTGTGTAAATTTGTAATTGAAAACAATCATACAAATTAAAGAGTTTCGTAATAATTGTTGTCAAACAGAAGCTTAATAATTTCAATCTTACTACATATACATATCCATTTATACCCTAGTTTACCGAATTTACACTTTTCACAATCTCACACCACCTTTTCACATCTCATACATTTAATCCAACGATTATAAAAATGTCATATCATCCATTTGTCAATCAAGTGGTAAAGTGAAATGTATATATAGCTTTATTCTGATAATTTTGGGTTAATTTCCTAAATGGTCACTAAACTTTTTTTAAAGTTCATGGAGTCGCTGAACTTAAAAATCTCCTCTATCAGTCACGTAACTTTGAAAATTGGTATCCTACACATCACCACATAAATGACACTTGCAAAATTGTCTAACTGTATGACTTACGCCACATTATTGTAATAAAAGGATGTCAATTACTGCATAAATCACATATTCAACAGTCATTAAAAAAAGGGTCACATTCATGTAGACGCATGCTCAATGTCACGATTTGGCATCATTTTATTATATTGACATGTCACATAAGTCATCCCATTAGACACGTGATTAAAATTTTCCAATATTGCAAGTTTCGTGATGAATGAATTACCAATTTTCAAAGTTAAGTAACTCCGTGAGGACTTTAAAAAAAGTTGAATAACCATTTAGTAAATTAACCCTAATAGTTTTACATTGAAACTTCCAACGGAAGGGAAGAAGAGGTAGTGGACAACAAATACTGTTGGTGTCACATCAGTTTACATTGCCTGAAAAGTTAGGAGAAATGCCAATCCAGGAATCAAACTATCAAAAACAATTTACTTTTTTTAGCATCGACATATCACCTAGGCTAGCACTTATTATCCATCAACATATTCACACCAAAGAAAAGAATCCTCTTTAATGGGTCGTGATTCGTAATCAATTCCCACTACCTAAAAATAATTCACAAAACGGACCACATAGGGTCAAAATTAAACTTGAAAAGTTGGGATTCCCATCCCACCAAAAGTTGACCATGTGCCACCATTTTTACTGGCTATTCAACAACCACAACGCGTAATATCTAGGATCTCGATAAAAATTCGACATAATACCCATTTTCACTTTTAGAATAAGAAAAATTCTCTGTCATTTCAAAGTAGAAAAATGCTATTCGTATGCCCTACGTGAAGTTAAAACCAATTTCACATAATACCCTTTCACACTTTTAGATCGAGAAAATTCTATATCATTTCAAGTAGAAAAATGGTGGAGAATTATTCTTTCGACTACATACATACATACATTCAATTCTGTAATTCTGTATATATATGCTGCTAAAATCTATTACTAATAATTTATAAAAGCATGAAAAGAATAAGAGGGTGTTTGATGAGGATTAAAATTAAATTTTTAAGAGATTATGATAGAAATTTTTGAAATGTGTGGTTTAAAAGTTGTGGGACCATAAAAAATGTGGTTAATATTGATTGTTTGACTTTGATTAAAATCGGACCAAACATGCCCTAAAACTTTCATAATCTAATCTGTTAATTAAAGAAATTTACAGAAGATTTTGTAAGAATCAAGAATGTACAACCAAAATGTGTCTTTCTTCTTCTATGTATTGATTAAGAAGACATGTTAACGTGCAATGTACCATTCATTGCACAGTTACAGACAGGGCATGCTTCGAGGCCATGACACCCACTCCCACAAATGTAGCAAAGGCATAAATGCCTGCACGGCATCAACAAAACCGTCGACTCTCTTTCCCCACATCTCTTGCACGTCCGGTCACTGAGCGGCCGGTTTTTCCGACAATCAGCATCTTCGTTACCAACTTGGATGTCCCTTCCATGGTCACTGCTGCCACAACACGACTCGACGTCTTCCTCAACCTCTGGTACGCCGGGACCTACACCGTCAGAGTGACGCTCTTCGCTTACTTGGGCTAGGACTTGTTCAAGATTCGTGCGCAAGGACATAGCCGTGGCCTCATTTGTCTGCGCCATGTCTCGCCATAAATGGTTTTCGACATATAGACTCTTCACTCTTTCTAGAAGAACCAAATTCAACTTGACCATTTTCTGAATCTGTTCATCCTTTTCCTTTAATTTATTCGTCACTGCCTCTTCTATTGTTGCCAGCACGAATCTTGCTTGTTGCTTTTGCCTCTCTTCTAGTTCCACTCTGATTTTCTTAGTCTGCAAATTAACAAAATAAACATCAATCATCCACACATGCACACAATCACATGCAAGTAACAGGCTATAAACAGAAATTAAAGACTCACATGGTAGGATATAATGTTATCAATTTCCAAGTGATGTTGTTGCATTTGATGCAAAACGCCTTCACCGGCAAAAGATGGGAACTGAGGGATGCTATTATTTTTCTGGGTGGCCGGGCTGGAATTCGCTGCTTCATAGAACTGATCCATTGAATCCCTGCCACGCTTTCGAATATTGTAGGTGTTATTGCTGTCGGTAGATTCATAAATCGGGACAAGATTCCCAGGCACGGCTTGGCGAAAGCCGAATCCTGATGAGCCCCTCTGCGGGTTGACTGCAAAGGTGTTGTTCTCGTAGTTGTAGGAATTCATCAAATCTCTGTAAATTTTAAGGAGTCACGAAAAATTCAATACAGAAACCAAAAAACAGAGAGATTGACACAGAATAAGAAAATTGTGCACAGAAAAAGATTCTAAAGAATACCCGTTTGAGATGAGTTGTGAAGGAAAAACATTGAGATGCCCTGTTTCTATGGCCATTGGAACTCTGATAATTTTTTCTACTTGTATATGGCGTTTTGCCTTTGTTTTCTGAGGGGGAGAGAGAGAGAGAGAGAGAGAGTAGGGAAAATGAATGGGTGTGGAAATTATTTAAGCCTTCAGTTTTTGGGAAAAAGGAGAGTCAAAATATGAAGGAGAGAGAGTCATCCATATTTGCATTGGATTTTGCAAATAAATTTGGATGGAAAAATAGGAAAGCTGGAAAATAAATGCAAAATCTTGGTGAGCTTGCATTAATTTTTTGTCCATATTCGCCATGAAAAACGTAAATCACCCTCAATTCGAGATTTTTCTTATTTGGTAATAACAATTTGATTTCCCGTAAATACACGGATTGTTCATTCAATTCACGATAATCTAATATACAAACCACTCAATTTACTATACTTGAATGCTAAGAGAGTCCGTTCACCCGTTATGTTTATTTCCTAATAGCATCTTCAATTCATTTTACAGGTCGTAATGCATTCTATGTATGGCCGTCTAAATATTCATGCCAAGTTTAAAAACTTACACTTTAAAATTCAAGCTTAAAATTGGTCTTCAATGATATATATCTACAATCAAATACTAATGTATAAGAGTAATGATATTTATAATTATAATGATAGAATATCGATGATATGATAACTTAGATAAAATAATGACATTAGACAGTTCAATTTTCATGAGAGAGAAAGAGAGAGGGGGGATTGAACTTAGTGGTGTCAATGGGCCGAGCCGAGCCGGCTCGACCCATTGTCGCACAAGCTCGGCTCGTTGCCATTTGGGCTAGCTCGGCTCGTGCCCGAGCTCGCCCAAGGCGAACGGCTTAAGCTCGGCTCGCCCCTTTTCAAATTTTTTTTAATTTCTTTTTTTACGCTACTACAAGTTTACAACGAAATCTTAAATTTTAAAAAGGGTTATTGGCGCAAAACATCCCTACCTATGATGGGTTGTGTGGAAAACGTCTTTAAGTTTGATTTTTTGGTGCAGAATGTCCCTACCTATGTATTTTCTTACTCAAAACGTCATTTTCTC